ATGCAAATGTACAAACATTATTTAGCAGATGTATTCTCCTTTAGATGAGACAATATAACACACTTAAAAACAGCCTTGGAATCAAACAAACCTCCATTCTGATCTTACTCCCCTCCTCTACTTGCCAGTTGTATGATCCTGGGCAGGACCTCTTCAGACCTCAATCTGCAAATTGAGGGCAATGGTATTACCCACCCCATAAGGTGTGAAATGATGTGTATACACACTTAGCACTTTGCCTGGCACATGGTAATAAATGTTAGCTGTTGATAATAGTGAAAAATATTTTTAAACTTTTCTCCTTTTTAGAATTCTAATGACTGTATAGAGAACGGAATGTCAAATTCAGTATTTATAAAAGTATTAAATTTTCCCATTAACATAAAATCTGTATACCTTATAGCACATAAAGTAACCTGAGAATGACAATGAATTGTGGTGTGAAAGACTAGCTAATCAGGATGACTCGGGCCACATCCTTGGTTTGTGTTAGTGTGACATTTTACAAAGGAGAATGTGAATTGAAATTCTACAGCCCCTTTTGCACTGATGAAATGAGTTCGGTGAGCACTCTGGTCCCTTGATCATGAGTTATTTCACACATCCATGTGTACAGCTCCTGTCTTTCTTCAGAATTTCTTCTCCTTTATGAATCCTGTGTGTCCAGTACCTTCCATGAAGCTCAGGGTAACTACCATCTCACCTTGAGGCTAAAATGTTCTTTCTGATGAATGAACAGCTTTTGCCTGGCTGAAGTTCTTACTGAGAGTTTCAGACTGATTTTTCTCATCTCTATATGGTAAATACGATGGAGCCTTTGACATCATAGAACTGAGTCCCAGTCAAATGTGAGATAATACTCTGATTTATCCTCAACTTTTGTCCTGGCTGAGGGCCATTGCCATTTAGAATGTTTCACTCCTCCACAGGTACTAGGAATTAACTCTCTTTGAAGGACCATTTTTCTTAGAAAAATAATGATTCATTGCTTCAGAAGGCCTAGTAGAGAAGGTGTAAGCCACACTGGAATATGGTAGCTGGGTTTCTAGCATAGATCTACCTCTGGCTCACTCACCCGCTCAGTACTCTCTCCCTTTTCTGGCCTTGCAGTCTGCCCAAATCAACCACATGCCTTAGAAAAATTACAGATTACCACACATCATGGCCCCTGGTAGCAACTGAAATCATAAATTTCATGTCCATTACTGCCAAACATCTGCTACATAAAAGAATGAGCTTTTCTCAGTTTCTTTCCCCCAGTTGAATGTTGTAGCAAGACTTGTTAGTAGAGTACAGGGACCCTAAAAGAATTTAAGCAAGAAAACATAACGGAGTGTATGAAATAGGCACTAAGGATCACAGGACCTTCTTTTCATGCCTCCCAGTTTGTACTATTTCTGGCTCTACTCCTGCCTATGTGTCTGGGACATTGGGAAGCCACTGCAGGACTGGTCCACAACTATCTAACAGGCTGAAGGATATGATTTGGGTGCTGACAAAGTTATAAGCAACCAATCAGTGATCCTGGACCTAGTTGGTTTCTTCTGAACCTTCAAACTAAAGTGTGTCTTCTAGAACACTCTGCTTCCTCCATATCTTCTTCAAAAAGAATGATTGTGTGCTCTCTAGGTTGCACTCTGTGCATTGGGTTACTGGAAATACAGTAGGGTGCACTGATGATTTTAACTCTTTTTTCTATAAAGGGCTATGGGATCTCATGCAGATTTTTGCAAAGTCATATGCAAATCACAGAGCCCAGCCCTTTTCTTAACAGGATGGCAACCTTGTTCCTCGGTGGCACCTGGGACCTGGAGATCCTTTCTCCACTTACGTTTAGCGCGCAACCTGGGACTTGTCCCTGCAGCTCACCGGGTTAGCCATGGCGCCGTTGGGACCTCCCACCAGGACTCCAGTCACCCACTTCTCTTGAGACTGCTCTGGCAGAGCTGGTGTGGGGTGCAGCCTTTGCTCAGAGGGCAACATGTTCCAAGCAAAATCTGCCCACCTGGGCCATGGGCTCACCCTTCGGGCCTCCCTGCTTCTCTCCTGGGTGCAATTTGAGGTTTCTGAGCTTCTCTCCAAAGTCCAAAATGTTGGGGCAACAGGGGCCTGTGAGAGGCCCCATGGCCCAATGTACTCCCCAGCTCTCAATGTGAACACCGGGTACCCCCAAACGCTTGCTACCCTAGAAGTCTGCAACACAAATGGACAGGTTAACTAGAAGGATGTGTTTGTCTCCCTAGTTCTTCTCCAGGTTGAATATTTCTATCAACAGTGGCCCCCAATCTAGAAACATCCACCATTCAACTCTAGCTTGTCTCCCCCATGTCATGACAAAGAGGGAGGAAGAAGAGATGGTTTATGATCAAGATGAGGGTTAGCTCTAGCCGTTCCCAGACATTGGCAGTAGCCACTTTCCCCCAAAATTTTCTGTTTCTTCAGCCTACCTGGGTTTTGTCATGTTTTTCCAGCTCCTCCCTCCCCACACTCCCTTCTGAGGACTCTGGTTCAAAACCGCTCTTCCAGTCTCTGTTTGGTTCAAGTTGTCCCATTGGGGGTGGTCAGAAGTATGAGAAGATATTATAAATGAAACAAACTGGCCACATATTGGTAATTGTCGAAACTAGATGATGGGTACACCAGTGTTCATTATTGACCATACAGATAGTTTCCCCATTTTTTTATATGTTTGCAATTTTTCATAATAAAATATTTTTTAAAAGTCCTCCAATTTCCACAACATTCGACAGAGAACCCTATCCCCTAACACAGAGTTTCACAGAAACCCCACACCAAGACAAGAGGCAAAGGTGATTCTATTTCATATATAAACTCATTTTCTAACCTTTTTTAAAGGCCCACTAAAAAATAGACTAAATTCTTATTTCTAAGCGGTCCTGAAGTTGGGCTCACTTCCCAGGCTGGGTTATGGGGGAGGGCAGGGGAAAGGGTTCCTTAAAGTTTACACTTCTATGTATCTCACAGTCTTATTGTGAGGATGTGACTTGTTCAGTGTTCTGAACTTTGTGAAGGATACATGGTCTCAAGGGAAAGTGTCATTCTCTGGAATTGCACCTGGCTCAGGAAAGGACTGTCTTTGTACTTGAATATAAATCCAATGGAGAACCTTAACACGGGCATTTGCATGACTGAGAATTGCTGCTGTCTTTTATCCGTATGTCACTTTCTTGAATGTGTTCTAATAAAGTGATTCTAAAGCAGGCTGTTGATATACAATGATTTATAAATACTTTCTGTTGAGTGCTGAGGCCCTTAATTCTCTGCCAAGAATCTACCCCCATCCCATTTTCTGGAAAGATCTATCAAGCTGGGGACAGATGCACTGAGCATGTGTGTGGCATGATGGCGGCACCACTGCAATTGCAGTCACTAATAAGGATCATACCAACCACAGATTTGTCTTCTGGCTGCCTAGTGACAGAATTTGTTTTCAGCATAAAGATGATCGATCATATATATATATGGGGGGGGAGGGATGACAAGAACAGGTGTATAATTCATTCCTCCAGGGAAGGAGTGAGGGAGGAAGGTGTGAAGAGAGACAAAGGCAGCCAAAAAGACACCGGCCAAGTTTAAATTCATTTTGTGCAGTGATGGGTCTCAGCATCCTCAAATGATAGTCGATTTTTAATTTTTATTTTCAAGATTGTATCTTTTGCTATCAAGCTGTAGCAAGTTACAAATTCCATTAGACAAACTGGTATATTTCCAAAGGTGAATATTTTGAGATATACTTTTTATCTCAATTCTTATACCCCTTTAGCCAAGACTAGTTAGGGAACTCTCATGAGCCAGTAACCAATTTAAGTCAATTCTTTGGTAAAGGAGCCACTGTTAAAAACCTTATGGCCTAAAGACTTTGTAAAAGGGAAAGGAAGACAGAACCAGACAAAGAGGCTTCCATTTCCTGAGCACCTTTCCAACCAGAAAGGAAGGCACATTATATACTCCTGTAATTTTCACAACTATCCAGAGAGGCTGTTTTCATTTTCTAAAACAGGCTAAAGCTAAGATAAATAATTTGAGCAAACTTGTGCAGCTAGAAAATAGCAGATATGTGATTCAAATTCAGGTCTGTCATTCCAAATGCATGCTTTTGCAAACCTCCAGGCTGATGGCCCAGGTGCCTGTCCTCAGCTCTTCCTTGTACACCTCCTGCCATTATCCACATCAGTGAACTCTCTAGCTAGGGGTACCTCAGGATGCAGACCAGCATTCTGCTCTTCCCTGTGTGATGGAGAGCTCTTCCAGGCCAGCATGTTTGCAACACTTATTCACATACCTGGCACTTGGTTATGTAGAGCTCAGACTGATGAGGCTGTAGTCATTGTTTGGTTTTCACAGGGATTTGTTTACTCATCAAATATTTATAGAGAGCCTTCAAGTGCTGGGCATTCTGAATTAGGTGAACAGTCCCTGCTCTCACCCACATAAAAGGATATATAATAATCACCAGAAGGGATCTTAAAGTCATTGAGATGAAACCAAGACCCAGAAATGTTTGCCCAAGCACCTTCCCCAAAACCATATTGCAAGTTAGGGGCAGAAGAAAGGCTAGAACTGAGAACTCTTGATTTTATTCTTACAGTACTTTTACCCCTACTATGTCACACTCTTTTGTTGTGTAGCTGTAGACTTTCACCCAACCCTAACCAGCCATATAAACATATCAACCAGTCAGGATAGTATTCTCATTCCTAGCCAAAAGCAAACAAAAAACCCAATACATTTTGAAATGATAAACAATATAGTGAACTAAATCCCTGAGACTGTTCTAACTAAACCCAGGTTTGCAGACTTATCTCAGAACGCCCAGCAGGCACAGAGAAAGGCAATGCTCTCATGCCTAAGGGTGCTGCCTAATGAGCAGGTGTATAGGTGCTTCCCTGTTTTGATCTGACCCCAGTATTTCCGCATCTTCCAGAACTAGCACTTACTCATTCACTGGTTAATTCAACAAGCATTTATTGAGTGCTTACCAGTTCTTAGAGATAAGGACACAGCGGTGCACAACACAGACAACCCTTGTGGATCATAAATTCTCCCTGAGAGGAACAGACAATAAATAAGTAAATAATACAGCATATTAAGAGATGATAAATGCGGCAAAGAAAAATATCAAGAAAGGAAAGAGCTGGCTGGAGGTAGGGATCCATTTTTAATTAGAGTGCTGAGGAAAAGACATCCCTGACAAAATGATGCATTGGGTCATCATTATATACATACATATATACACATGTGTACATAAATGTATAATATTCATATATATGAACAAATCAGTGATAAAATGATCTCCTCTTTGTAAGTGTGACAAACTGCATTTAACAAGGTTTGACATGTGGCTTTGGCCCAGCTCTGAATAGCCAGCAGTACAGTGTGATTTGAAAGGTCTTCAGGCTGCTTTCTCTGGCATGTCCCAGTTCCCAGTCCCTAACTTTCTTTTCTCCTTTGGGCTAATGCAATTGTTCTCAAATTTGAGTATACATCAGAATCACCTAGTGGGCTTGTCAAAACACAGATTCCTTAGCCCCATACCCAGAGTTTATGCTTCAGTATGTCTGGGCTAGATACACAAATTTGCTTTTCTTAGAAATTCCCAGATAATACTAATGTTGCTGGTATAAGACCCACAATTAAAGCATCACTAAATCATTATAGCTAGAAAATTCCTGTTAAAATGAAACTATTACATGAGAAATAATGTGCTCATTCATTAGGATGCATGGATAGTATCAATGTAGCTATCCTTGCAGGGCAAAGTCCTTGAGAAATGGGACTATTTATTTAATGGGATAAGATTCAGAAACTACAGCCCAAGACCTCAAGCAATGAGAATTTAAGGCAAGGAATGTGCCCAGAAAAGGAAGTACAAACAATCCTTCATTGTTGTGTATTTCGATAGCTATAATAATATCACAAGTCCTTTTGCCAACTACTTCCTCCTGACCAATTAACCTGTTGGTAGGCAGAACAGGTGTCATGGTTACATTTTACAGATAGAAGTAGAACACAAAGAGGTTATGTGGTTCCTGTAGGTCATCAAGTCTAAGAACCCCAGTTGCCTTTCTCTTAGCTTGGTGTTCTTCCTCCCTTAACACTCTTCATGACACTAGCAATAGCAGTGTCCTGGGCCATCTACCCTGGATCATTAAGATCCAGGACATGTAGTTGCTCTCTGCCTTTTGCTCTGTTCAAAATCCCACTTACTATAAGTAGGTTATTCACATGAGTGATTAACTGTGGTATTAGGCCCTGGATGGATTTCCTCTGCCATAAGCACATTTCTCCTCTTCTCCTACAAGGTATTATACAGAGAAAATACCAACTCATTTTATTATTAGCCTAAGCTAGAACTATTCATTATGAAAGCAAACCTGCTAGGGAAAAACACACATAATACTTTCCAAAGGTAAATAGAAATGACATTTTGATTATATGTACCATTGCTTCCATTCCATTAGAGGAGATAATTGAAAATTTTCTGTATCACTAAAACAAGCATCAAAATGAGAGTGGATTTTGCTAAATCTGATAACTAATGAATCACATTTTCTGGTATTTAAATATACCCTCTGTTCCACAAAAAGTGAAAATGAAGAATAAAATTGTCCTTCCCAGTACTTGTCCGCTAGGTCTCCTATTGACTCTCATGGATGGTGAACCTGTGAGCCACAAGGAGCTGCCCCCCTTAAGTTTCTATAAGATCTTTTACCATCCATGAGCCCAGGGTTTTAGAAGTTTAATTTGTAGAATTTCCCTCATCTCTCTCCCAACCCATTGGTATTTTGCACATACTACCACTGGGACCACTCATTTATTCAATAAACATGTTAAGCACTTGCTATGCATCAGACCCTGTAAGAGCCATTGAACAGGCTACAAAAATGGGTTAGAAATAATCCTATCCTGAAATAACATAGCATATAATAGAGTTGCTCTCTAAATCAGACAGAATAGTCAACACTCAAGTATATTCTAGATGTGAATTGTAGTCCATGAGGGCTTCTCCCCATTTTCATTCTTTGTACTTGCTGTATGCCCAAAAGAAACTAATTGATGAGTTAGTTAAGCTTCAACATAAAATTGGCACCATTAGGAAAGAAAACATACCTGGGGGAGAGAAAGGTGGAATGCGGAACACTATTCTAGAGTTCTGGGCACATGCAGAGATAAGTATGCATCAGCAGTCCAAAAGCAGGGTAGATAAGGGGGCATTCTAGGATCTCACACCTACTATATAAACTCATATTCCACATGTGGACCATGTAATATTGAATAAATCTTGAGTGATTAGAAATTCCATACTGGTGAAAGATCCAGCATGAACATGTGTTTGCTGAGTTTCAGACTCCAAAGCATACAAGAAAATATTCCTTAAAAAGCATAATTCATGTCAACTGCAGCACAGGGACTGAGCCTATAAGAAAATCAGCTGGGTTGAGGAGAAGACAGTGGGATGAAGAGAATTCAGCTAGCTTGTTCAGTGTCAGAGCACATGTGAGAAGATTCAGACCGTGATCCAACAAGGTGGGAGTACATGTGTGTGCACATGCGCACGTGCACACATGTGTTCACCAAAATGTATACACATAGCACAAATGTTGAAGACCAGCAATAATAATTTTAAGTCTTTTTAGACAAATTCTAAATTCATAATCTAGAAAGGAGGACAAGTTTAGAAAACCAAAAGTGCAGACAGAAGTGAATGTCAAGAGTGGTTCTAGTGGCCATCACAGCTTTATGTCTCTCAGCAGCTCAAAGGGTCTCCCCAGGCTCTGACACCTTTCTTCCTGGATTTGGACTTGTGGAATCTCAAGTCAGGAGTTCAAAGAAGATATATAGCTGGTTCTCAGATCTGCCCTTACAACCTATTTTCACCCATTCTGCAAACCTGTCCTGGCTCTGGAGGGAATTTTCTCAGCACCAGTGCTATATCCAGTCTTACTCATGATCACCAAGAGTACTAGTGGCATAATAGTCCATCCATGCCTTCCATGGGTCAGTTTGGTCATGAATAATGGTAGCCAGAGGGTAGGGAATAGCACTAGTGGAGGGAGTTTCTATGTATTTGCCTCTGAGTTTCTGGGATGATGGAATAAGGAGTATTACTTCTATTTGTAAAGATATCCAGGGACCCTGGTGCCTGTCAGTGGTGACCTTTCACTGTCCTTATACCCAAACACAGTGTGGAGCTTTTAGATTGAGATGGAGTGGGTGGGTTCTGCTGGGTGGTGGTTAGGGATGCATCAGAGTAAAGAGAAGGACAAGGATGGGGTGGAGTTTAAATGTAGTTCATGTAGAAGTAGAGTTTAGATTTTATTGGTATGGGACTCTATATGTTGCTCTAGTATCTCATAGATTCACAAGGACTTGTGTGGGCAATTTGGCCCTGAAAGGAGTAAGTTAGTGATAAAACCGACTTCTACAATTGTGTTCCTTTAAGGCCAACTGGAAGTTAACAATGGAAGTAGGAAGCTTTGTACCCTTCCGTCTCTCCCTGTGTTCCCATTAGTTATTGACGATTCTGACATGTTGCTTTATTTTTGATATTTATGGAACTATTCAACCAACCAGATTGTGGGAATGCTATAGATTATAAGCCTCAAAGCCAGTCTGTTATCAAGATCTAGGTACTGTCTATGCCCTGCAACAGGTAGCCTTAGGGACGGAATGGGTCACTAAAAAGGGAGACTCCTTGCAGTGTGCAATTGCTTAGCTGGTGTTACAGAATAAAAGTGATGACATTTCACCTTACTGACATGGCTGCTTTTAGGGCCAGATGGATGCATGCCTTCTAGAACAGGACATCAAGCCATCACTCCAGTACTTCTGGCATCTGGGGAATGAATTATTGAAAAATTAAAATGAGAAGGTAATTGGATGGGGCTGCAAATATGATTACTTAGACTAGGAGCCCATTTCCGATCACATCCCAAACCTCAAAAATCTGAATAAATCATTCTTCTGGATTAAATTTTTTATAAAAGAATGCACTGGGAGCCAAGAGTGGGAGGAGTAGTTTGAAGGATTGAAATGAGACAACAACGGGAATGACACTGGACACGGTCTCTTTTGTAAACATTTAATGTGGGGAAGGAATATCAAGGGTGATGCCCAAAGTAATGCAATGATTTGGACTCTGGAGAGTCTCACAGCAACCAAGAGTCTATGGCAGTGTCTGACTAGTAGATCCTCTAGAGGTCAGCGAGGGGGTCATATGTCCAACAAAACAACAGAATAGATACTGCTAATGATCAACAACTCTCAAGAAGTACCAGGTATCTATTATGTTCATTCATTTATTCATCCAACAAATATTTATTAAATACCTACCATGTGCCAGGTATTATTCTAGACAGCAAAGACAAAGCAACACATCTCCTATCCCCCCAAAAAACTAATTCCTGTCCTCATGGAGCTTACATTCTAATGGGACTACAGACAAATAGGTAAAATGCCAGAATGTGATACATGCTCTGGAGAGAAATACAACTGCAAATGAAGTGGCATGTGGGGAGGATCTGAGCTCTGGGCTGACACAATCAAGGATCCAGGGATGATGAAATTAGCCCAGGTGGTCTCAAGGCAGATGGTGGTGATGAGGCTGTGAGTGTTGCAGGAGTGGGTAGGGTAAGGCTTCTGCTGTAACAAAGGGTTTTAGAAATCTGTTTTCATTATTGCCACAAAAAAAAGCATGAAGACTGAAGACGTAACTTTATCTAGGAGGTATAGTGGGTATAATCAGTGGTAGAGCACTTGCCTAGCATGCATGGGGCCCTGGGTTCAATCCCCTGCACCACAGGGAAAAAAAAAATCTAGGAGCAGGTAGGCGCTCTCAGGTAAGATGGCCTCTCCCTCAGCATTCATGCCTCCATTGGTGCCAAGAGGGTGCCCAAGAACATGCCCTGGAACTCAAGTGGGAACTGAGACTATGCCCCCAGTACCTACCAGGATTCGAGGGGAGCATTTCTGATATGACCCTGGCCCAGGTGAGAGAAATCTGGATTCCATTCAGAGTGATAAGAACCTCACTCTATGGTGTGGTTTATGTCCCTCAAGTTCACATTGCGAGATTCTTGAAAATAAATCAAAATTTAGTCCAAGTTCTACATGAATCTAGGAACCACGAGCTCTTCGAGTACACTATATACAGTATCTCTAGAAACAAAAAGGCATTGCAGATTCTGAGTAGCATGTTAAAGTATTTGTTTTTTTTTTCTTAAGAGGTTTAAAATACAAATTCCCTTTGGTTATTTCCCTCATCTCCTAGCAGACCATGGGCCCCCTCTAGATGAGCTTAATGAAAGTCAACAGTAGCAGGAAGCAGTTTCCAACATTACCTACACAGAAACCCAACCCTGTCACTAGGACAAAGACTGAGAAAGTCCCATTTAGCTTTATCACAAACAGGACATTGCCCCCAGGAGACCCAGTAAAGAAGTGCAGGAATTCATTCTAATCTTGGGATCATAATTCATATAGCATCTATTCCTTGGACCCAGCTAATAGATATGCTCAACCTAGATCTGAGTTCCTGACAGCAGGAAGACAGCCCACTCACAGTTGTGGTGTAAATGTAGCTTCCCTGTTTCCTCTTTCCATACCCCACTTAAGGCTCATTAAGTTTAGGCAGCAGGCTTGGGAGTTAAAGAGAATTTAGCTCCCTCCTCTCAGCTATATCAGTCTGTCCCCACAAGACAAGTTATTGAGGTTGAAGCCAAATGAGAGAGGAGTTCAGAATACTAGCGCGCGCACACACACACACACACACACACACACACACACACACACCCTCACCCTCCCATTCATTGTGTAATGGGTCCCAAGCTCCATCTCTAGAGATACACTGCAAGACTAAGTCTGGGAGGTTGTCTCTTATAGATGTATGAGACATTAGTTAACCCTTTCAGACAAGGACTTCATGGGACAAGTCCATCCCAATTCAGATCCTAGTCAGGAGCCAGGTGGTGTAGTGGCAACAAGAGAGCCAGGTGGTGTAGTGGCAACAAGATCACTTTTTCTCTGTGGCTGTCAGAAATTGAATGTGACACTGGTTATTTTCTATTTTTTTGGATCAATACATGTGCTCACCAAGAGGTTTCTAACCTTACCTGATACAGATCAACTATCTTTTGGCTTCTCCTGATAAAAATTTACTTTTGAATATGTCTTAGACTTAATCTATAGAGTGCAAAACCTTAGAAGCTTATACGTAGATGCAAATTGTTAGCTGAATGAAGAATCAGTATAGTCTTATAGGATCCATGTCAAACTATGCTAGTAATTGAACTGGTGATTGCTATAGGGTAACTGCTGTGAGGCAGGGACAGTTGTCTGCTGTTTTTCACTGCTGTATCCCCAGTGTATATACTAATGCCTTTAAGTATAATTGCATAATATGTAGAGTAAATGTAATCTCCTTAGTCCACAGAAATACAGAGAGAAATATTCTTCATCTTTAATAGAACCAGACCATAAGTAAATGCCTCTGTTGTGCTGCAGAGGAGTAGAAAGGAGTTTTGCGGAATACGTCATACTTGACAAAAGCAAGTAGCATGCTCCTTGAGTTTCAGATAATATAAGGATAGAAAGCAAATTTGATGTACAAGCTGATAGGCAAATCTTAAATATGAGATCCAGGGCCAGGACAGGTAAACAGGGATGGCAATTGAATGTAGCAAAGAGGGTTTAAGCAAAGGAGCTATAATCAAAGGAGCAAGTAGACAGTGGAAGGCCATGTCAGCTGTGGGAAACTTCAGTGTGGTTTGGTCAGTGACAATTCAAAGAATTCTGATAAATGATGATTCCTCTCAATATACCTTTTATTCTGTTACCCACTCATAAATTTTTTTAAGGTACCACTTGACTTCTGAGGTTCTTTGGATCATTTCTAATTAAGAATGTTAAATGGGAAGATTGAAAAAATAAAAGCACCAGGGGCCAGGAGCAGTGAATAGGAAAATAAACCTAACAAAGCACATGTCCCAAAAAACAAAACAACTGTTATAAGAGTCAGATTTCAAGAGTGTCTCTCATTTGGTTTGCTTCACTGAGTTGGTTGCCAATGAGAAAGACTTAAATTCTAAAGATAGTGTTGATTGAAAATGCACTTCCCTTCTCTGCTCTTCCCCACCCCCATGTTCATGTTTCTCATTAATTCCGGAAGCTCCAAGAAATGAAAATGTGTGAATCGACCCATCTGTCGTGAGTCAGCCCAAGAAATGGACAACAGTGGATTCTGATGCCAGTTCCCTGGTAGCAAGCAAAGCTGCCCTTCAGCTTGATTTTATTGTGCTTTAGGACTGTTCCAAAAGTACACAAAAAGAGTATAAAATATTCTTAACTAGAAGAATTTGTAGTTCATTTGGGAGAGAGAAAAAATAAATGCTCAGAGAACAAAATTCACACAATACAAGATGGGAATAGCTATCACATCAGCCTGAGTGGTCTAAAAACTAGTATGATCTCTGTTCTATATATCTATCTAGCATCAAGGATGAGTCATTGAATATAATGACAGTAATCTTCAAATCACTTTTTAAAAACTAATAATAATAATGATAGTAGTAGTAATAACAATAAAATCTGCTAAATCTGCCAAAATTATTGCATTCAATGTGTATTTGTCTTAATATGGTTCCATTTTGTCTCTTTCCTTTTCCTTCCTTTCTTCCTTCCTTCCTTCATTCTTTTTTCTTTTTGTGGTATTGGAGATCAAACCTAGGGGCACACTACCACTAAAGGACATCCCCAGCCCCTTTTATTTATTTTGAGACAGAGTCTCCCTAAGTTGCCCAAGTGATACTTGAACTTGCATTCCTCCTGCCTTAGATTCCCAAAGTACTGGGATTACAAGGATGAATCACTGTGCCTGACCCTCTCTTTCTTAACTTGGTTGGTCTTTCAGTGATCCTGGACTTTTACCAATACTCATCCCCAAGATAATTCTATCCAGAGAATAGAACAAAAGCAGATGTGTCTGTCAGGATAAAACTAGGTTATCCTGTGGTAACAAACAACCCTAAAATTTTGGTGACTTAACACAATGTGGATTTATTTCTTGCTATCATTACCTGTTCATAATGTATATTGGCACGGGGCTCTATTCAATATAGACAGTCAAAGACTTTGGCTGATAAACCGGTTTCAGACATTGCCAGTTACCATCCAAGACAGAAAGAGAATTCCAAAGGTTCTTGCACCCACAGTCAAGTGCCTCAAGTTGGAAATAACTCAGTATCACTGCTAGAACTAGTCACGTGGCTCTAGTCAACCACAAGAAAGCCAGGAAAAACAGTGGAATTATGTATTCAGAAGATAAAGAGCTAAAAAAAAGAAGATAGAGAGCTAGAAATGTTTGGTGAACATCAGAATGACCCCCCAACACACAGCTGACATCAACTCATATTTGCAAATAATATGCATTTTGGCCCCTACTCAATATTTACATTCTGGCTCTAATTCAGACAGGTATTCAAATTTGGACTCAGCAGATTTGCATGTGTATGTGTGTATTTCAGATTTACACATTGAAGTGACATTATTCAAGTTTAGCTCATTACTGGTTTTCTGTTACTCCTACCTCCCTAATTTCCACAAACCCCACCCATTAATAATACTATAGCCCATATAAAGTGAGTCAGTGCTAATGTCAATGTCTAGTCAGAATATAAAGATGAGCGCAAGCTTCCTGTTTATGTTGAAACTTTTCCAGCCTTAGGGAACCAATTTTTAGGATAGAATGCCTCAATGAGCCCTTTTGTATCTTAGAGCTGAGTTAGTTACCTTACCCACATGCTAACCTGTGGAGTGCTCTGCTAGCAATAGATTCTACAC